TTTTATTTTTGGATTAGGAAAACATGAAAAAATCAAATAATCATCTAGAATCTCAGCACTGAGCTCCGGAGGGATTATGAACATTGGGATCAATATCTCTATAGTTTTTATAGAATGTATGTAGACATATACTTATGCATAAATGTGAGAGCATATTTTTATTTAATAATATATCATTTTGTGTGTCGCCAGTTTATCACAGTCTACTTTCAAAGCTATAGCACTTTACACATATGAGAACAGGATCGTTCTCACCTTTGCACATGTAGTAGAGCCCCTAGTTCATTGTTACTCTTCCTGCTTTAGATAATCAATTATCTTTTCTATTTCCCTTCAGTCTTGCCATTTCTATATTTCTCTGTGTGGGTCTAACCTTCTGTATGGTATCATATTCCTACGGCCTGAAGAACTTCCTTTAATATTTTTTGTATTGTAGGTCTGATGGTAATGAGAACTCCCAGCTTCTGTTTATCTTAAAAAGTCTTTATTTCTTCTTAATTTTTTAAAAGATATTTTGGCTGGGAATAGAACTCTCATTTGACAGGTGTTTATTTTTCAGTATTTAAAGATGCCCCCTGTGTTTTCAGCATTGCATAATTTAGGAGGCTGTAATTATTGTCTTTGCTCTCTATATAAAATATGTCCTTTTTTCTTCTGTTTACCTTCAAAATTTTTCCTTTATCTTTCATTTTCAGCAATTAGACTGATGTGTCTAATTGTGACACTTACTGGTTTATAGTTTATCTTCCTTGGTATTCTCCAAGCTCCACCTTGAATATGTCGTTTCATGCATTCCATTATTTTGAGATAATTTTTGGCCATTGTCTCTTCAAGTATTTCTTCTGCCCCATCTTCTGTCTTCTCCTTATTCAACTCCAGTCATTTTCTTTTCCATTAATTTTTAATTTGTGTTTGGTCGTTTATACTAACATATCTTTAAGTTCACTGATGCTTCCCTCAGCTGTGTGAAGTCTGGTGATCAGCCCACTAGAGGAATTGTTTCTTATATTGTGGTTTTTCTTAACAAGGTTTCTATTTGACTGAAATCTCCTATCTTTGGTGAAATCCCCTAACTTTTGATGCTTGTAGCTCACTGTTCCACTAGACAGAATGCAGAAGAGACTTAGGTAAATAGTATCTTTGAATAAGGGCACATTTTTGTCAGGCTATAAATGTAGAAGGTTGAATCTAGTCAAGTTAGCTGAGTTTACATTTTGTTTGAGTGTACCACAGGCTTCAGCTTCCTCTAGAGGAGGGCTGCACTGCCTTGTGCTCAGGGTGGTAGCTGGGGCGTTAGAGAATTTGTGTGGTGTTGGTGCTTTGTCCACCGCTCTCCCTGCACACCTGAAGCATGAGGCCATCTCTCGCGAAGCTCCTGTCTGGCCTCAGCAGCTCACTGCTGTTGCTTGTTACTCTATGCTAGGCTCCTGCTGGGACTGAGGGTTCTTTCATTCTGGCTCAGCTTCAGTCTTAGGGAGGGTGCCCAGGCCTCAGGGCTGGGTCTTTCTTCACATTCCTTCCCTTTCAACTATGGCAGCCAACCTCTACCTTTTATCCGTGGTTTTAGATTTGAAGCCTTTTCATATATACTGCCAAATTGCATCTCAGAAAGCATGTGTAAATTTACATTTCAGAAGTAGCAAATGAGGGTTCTCTTAAATAAACATTTTCATCTCTCCTACCACTAGGCTCTTTTGATATGTTGGGATCCCATGATTTTGTTGCTCTCTTATGTAATGGAAATGCAGCTCTGGGTCTTGTGCACAGTAGGGCATAAACCATTTTTATTGGTTATCTGATGAATCAAAATATAAATGTCCCATTGAGTGGTCCAAAGGTACCACTTTCATTTCAATTTTTTCCAAATTGACAGAAGCAGTCACTACAGATTCAGGAATGCAAAAGTATGTATTTCACTCAGAAGCTCCATTTGACAGAGAGGAGAAGCAATAGTTGTTATTTGGAGTATTTGGAGGCATTATGATCCCTGACTGAAAAATACCACTGCACAAGGGTCTAGAAAACTGTATTATCATCCCGATTCTGACTTTAATTCTTTGTCTTTTAATATGTAAATTACTGATCAATTCTATTCCCTAGTTTATTTATCTGTCAAATAGGGTTAGTGATTTTATTACAATAGAGTGTTGTCAAGGTAAAATGAAATTACACGTTTACAACACGTTTTAAGTGCTATAGAAATATAAAATATTCCTCTAGAAAGGACCAGATACGCGTAGAAAAATGTGGGAGTTAGAATTTCAAGGCACTCTTTTGACATCTATGCATCACTGTATGAGAGGGTACATGAATATGGAAGAGAGCAAAGTTAGAAGTAGAGTCTTCCTCTTACTAAAATTAGCCTACTTGTAATAGAGGTTAATTAAGTCCTCAACCAGGCAAGGGCACAGTTTTAAAGGGAAATCACAAGTAAGCCCCAACTCTTGCAGAGAAGGGATGAGGTCTTAGCACCGTATCCCACTCTGGGCTCAGTAAGCTTACTGTTAGACCGTGTCTCCTACAGACCTAACCTGACCCTCCACCTACTGTCTCAGGTCAAGAATCATCCACTGTGATTCTTGGGTCACTGGAGTGACCCACGATAAAGACAAGCAAGACAATTAAAAAGTCATCAGGACGTTTGTGTCCCTCTGCCACCTTTCATTCACAGCAAAAGGGGACCAGAGCATACACAATGCACAGCATATAGTTTTACTTCCTCTTTTGTAAACTGTTACACATAGTTGAAACCTTCAGCCATAGCTGGTAGGTCTACAGCAGGGTCAGCCCCTAAGCCAAATCTGACCTACCATCTGTTTTTGTAAATAAAGTTTTTTAATGTTTGTTTATTTTTGAGAGACACAGAGAGAAAGACAGTTGGGGAGGGGCAGAGAGAGAGGGAGACACAGAATCCAAAGCAGGCTCGAGGCTCCGAGCTGTCAGCACAGAGCCCAACTGACATAGATCTCAAACCTACGAACCACGAGATATTGACCTGAGCCAAAGTCAGATGCTTAACCAACTGAGCCACCCACGTGCCCCTGATTTTGTAAATAAAATTTGATCAGGATACAACCACTCCCATTTCTTTACATATTTTGTATGACCACTTTACACTACAATGCCAGAATTGACTAGTTGCAATAGAACTTGCATGGCCTGCAAAGCTGAAAATATTTGCTATCTGGTCCTATACAGAAGAAATTTGCCTACCCTTAGTCTAGAGCAATGATATCCATCCTCTCTTTCCCCCACCAGCATTACTGAAGCAAATTTGGTTTACTAAGGTCTCTTTCTTCTTCTTTCATTCGATGAATCATTTGATACTTTGGCACCTAAGAATAATGAGGGAAAGAATTGTTCAGATAGGAAAATGAATGCTAACAGCATTATAGTTTATAATGTTTAGAAAAGTTTATACAAAGTACAGGGCAAAAAGATCATTTTAAATAATACTCCGTGAGGTCGAAATCAGCTAAATCTAGAAGTTAGAAAATTCTACACAATTATCCAGCTTTTTCAATAAGTAGTCATGGAAAACAGAAAGCAGAGTAAGGCACCTGCAGAGATTAAAAGATGCTTAAGGGACGTTTCAACCTAATACAGGTGTGGATCTTCTAATTTGAACAACCCCACAGAGCTAACTGGACATAACAGGAGAATTCGAACACTGACAGGGTCTTAGCGTTATGAAGGAATTATTTTTACTTTGTTAAATATGATAATGGTATTGTGACTGTTTGTTTAAAAAAATTCTGGATGTCTAAGGTTTTCTTTTCCTTCTCTTAAACTTCAGCAGAAAAAAAAATAAGGAGTATAGAAGAAATAATATTCCCAAAACATTGATAAGTATTCAACCAGAGTGATGAGTACATGAAACTCATGTCTTTCTCTCAAACTTTTGTACCTGTTTGAAATTTTTCATTATAGTGTGTTTTTTAATATATGCTCAAGTCATATTTTAATATGAATCCGGGTTTTGCCAGTTATTTGTACATCTGTAAAATGGACATTGTAAGTCAGACTGTTTGCGACATTGTGAGGATTATGAGAATTAAGTGGGATAGCAGAGTTTAGCACAATGCCTAACATATAGAAAATGATCAATGCCTGGTAGCTATTATGCTATATCTGCTACCAAATTACAAAAATGTAACCCTGGAGGAGCCTAGTTCATCAATCATATAATAAACTTAGGTGAACAATGGACCTTAAATCCATATTGTTGCTACAAAGAAATAAGGAGCTAAAGTAGAGAATGTTCTCACTATATACACGTATTTCCATGGAAGTCTGGAAGCAATCATAGCACCTATAAGATGCATGGGGGAAAGACCTGTGGTATTGAGGATCATGACTTTAATTTCAGATTGTCCTAACAATATATTTATTCCTCAATGGTAATTAAAAAAAAAAAGTTTTCTGTGAGATTGCTAACAAATGTCTACGAACACACTTTAGCCCCAGCTGTATGAGAAGTCCTGTGACTTTGTAGAGTATGGACTGATTTGCTGCTTTGAGTTACTATTGTTTCTCCTTGATATCTTGTGCTCACATGAACCCAGAGGTGGTGCTAAGTAACATGATACTCCTTTAACTGAGTCTTAGCTGACTTAATCAGCCACAGTCAATCACTCATTAGCCAGAATGTATCACACAAATTTGTAGGAAAACACATTGACTTAACAGTATATGATTTTAAAACAAAAACAAAGAAACAAAAACAAAAAAGACCCCATCTCATCCATCAGTCACCTCAGGTAAATGAAATAGACTTGGACCCACCTTCAGAATGTTTTCTTTAAAATTCATCCCTTTTTTTTGGGGGGGGGGAGGTCTCCTGAGTAAAATTACTGTCAGAGAGAAATGTCAGGAAGCATTGTGTTCACCGTGAATGTTAAAAATAAATAAATAAATAAGTGAGGACATGTTGGGGAGAAGTTGAGGAAGCAATGTTTTGGTTGAACTGAAAATACCCAAACTGTCCTTTTTTTCTACAGAATGACATCACGCCTTTACATGTTGCGTCAAAAAGAGGAAATGCCAATATGGTAAAACTCTTGCTTGATCGAGGAGCTAAAATTGATGCCAAAACAAGGGTAAGTGCAATTTGTGTGCATGCTTATACTTATTCTCAAAAATAGGAATTCTTCCCCTGATACCTTCACAGTGGTTCAGCACTGGCTTCACTTTTCTTCATTTGTCGTGGCCTCTAAGAAAATGATGCTAAATGTATTTGTCCCAAAATGGGATGCTGATCCATATGTATAAATCTGTAACACATGTTTAGGTGGTATATGGCTTTAATTATAAAACCTAAGGCCTAAGGTCTAGAGTTTTAGTTGAGTTTGCATTTTTAAGAATGTAATCACTACCTGACCCTATTGGCTGGGCAGTTTGGTCAATTCAGTATTAGAACTGACAGTTATTCTATTTAAAAACAAATTGGTCTACTTTTGCACACTGCTGGTGCAAATGTAAAGTGGTACAGGTACTCTGGGAAACGGTAGGGAGGCTCCTCAAAATATGAAAACTACAACTACCCTACCATCCGGCAATTCCACTACTGAGTATTTACCCTCAAATATTGAAAACAGTATCTTGAAGCAATATTTGCCCACTCCTGTTCATGACAGCATTGTTCGCAATAGTCAAGAGATGGAAGCAACACAATGTCCATTGACAGATGAATGGATAAAGAAAATGTAATGTATATATACAGTGGAATATTATTCAGCCTAAAACAGGAAGGAAATCCTGTCATTCTACAACATGAATGAAATCTTAAGGACATTATCCTGAGTGAAAGAGGCCAGTCACAAAAGTATAATACTGCATGATTCCATTGATACAGAGTTTCTAGAGTAGTCAGAATCATAGAAACAGAAGCAGAATGGTGTTTGCCTGGGGTTTAGGGGGCAGAGAAATGGAGAGTGTTGTTTAATATGCATAGAGGGTCAATTCTGCAAGATGAAAAATCTAGAGATGTTACACACAACAATGTGAATATAGTTAACACTACTGAAATATATACTTAAAAATGGTTAAGGGAGTAAATTTTAAGGTTTTTTTTACCAGAATTTAGAAATACAAAACAAAACAAAACAAAACAAAACACCCCACAAAATACAAAACTGTCTGGCTAGGTATTTGGTATGTTGCTTATTCGGTGCAATGCCATTTGGTTAGAGGAAAGAACTGAGACTCAGAAGCCAGTTTGAATCCCAGATGCTGACCTTAGCCAGTTGACTTAGGAAGGCTGTTTAACCTTCTGCATGTAATTTCGCTTTCTGAAAATAAAGAAAATTAATGGCCACCTTGAAGCTTATTACAATGATCAAGCTAATGTTTATAAACTGTGTTGCCATAAAGTAGGCCAGAAATAGGTCACAGCCATTGCTTATATAACTCAGAAGTCCAGTTAGCATTAAACTTCTAACCAAGGGATTATTTTGTCCAACATTTCATGTGTTTATTCCAAGATATGAGCAAGAGTTAGGCTAATGGAAAGGTGATCTCACTATACACAGCCCCCTCTCTGAGGATTTGGAGTGGTTTTCCCTATCTTGTCACCGTAGCCCCTGCAATTCTGTGCTTCCTCCTTAAGGAATCCTGATCTCCGTGGTTCCAAAACTGGCCTGATAACCTGCATTTGATTCCTGTGGTTCCTTGATTTACTACTTCACTTACTCAAGTAATAAATGATTACTGAGTGGGCCTACTGTGGGGAAGACACAGTGAGGTGACAGAGCAGGGCTTCAGGACACTGTCCTTACCCTCACAAAGCTGATGAGTAGTCAGCTGCCTGTGCTCTGACCTGAAGACATCCCAGCTGTAGGTAGTTTGCAGGAGACCCCAGGCTTCCTTTCCTAATAACTACTGAACCTGAAAATCTGCACATACCTTAAGAGAAACAAGATTTCTAGAGAGAAGGAATGAAGAAAGATGAAGGTTGACCCCTAGAGGACTGTCTGACTGGGGAAGTAAATTGAGTAGAGCTCTTACTGAATTGACTTTGCATTCTTTAATAAGATGCCATTACCAATATGCTAGACTGTCACTTTAAATGGCAGGGGTCTTTGCTAATATAGGCTGCTTAAAGAGGTTGTAAGGAATAAAACCGAATCAGTCCTATGGCACTCAATTACCATGTAGAGCTAAAGGATCATATGTGAACAGGGAAAATTTTTATAAAGAAAAATGAGGAATACTAGAGCCAAGCAAGAAAGAGGAGCTTGAAGAGATATACCTGGTTTCCCAGCCGGGGTTTTAGTGAGTACGTGGATTAGAAATCATCTTATTTCTCCCTCTCTTGAAATAATCATCAATCACTGGCAAAATTCCTTTTCAGTTACTTTACCTCATTTATCCAAAAATTACCTGCTGTATTTGATACAATGAAAGGAGAAAGGGGCATATGGAGAACTCAGGTCCCATGTTTATGAGGCAGATAGTGACACCAGAGTGAAAACATAAGAACTTTTCTGGATAAAAGTATCAGAGATACGGGGGCACCTGGGTGGCTCAGTCAGTTAAGTGTCCAACTCTTGGCTCAGGTCAAGAACTCATGGTGCATGAGATTCAATCCCATGTTGGGCTCTGCACTGACAGAAAGGAGCCTGCTTGGGATTCCCTCCCTCTCTCTCTGCCCCTCCCCTGCTCCCTTTCAAAATAAGTAAATAAACATTTTTAAAAGTATCAGAGATATGGAATAATGTAGTATGCAACTTTGCATACTATGCAAATTTAGGGAGCAACTTGGTTTCTCTAACATTTTACCTTCCTGTTGTGAAAGGTTCTCTTATTTTGAGTAAGATGCAGTCTCCTTTTTACCATCCATTCACTTGTAACTGGGATTCGCTCTTCTCCCGTGTTCTGTGAATAGCATGTGACTGTGAAGGAGACAGAAATAGAGAACGGAGAAGCCTGTCCTGCTTCCCTTGCTCTCCAGCAAGGAGTGGGGTGAGGGGGGATGGCAACTGGGCACAAACTGAATTCCTGGCAGACGATATTGAAGAAAGCGTAGTACATACCCCAAATATGTAAACTATTTTGTGTTCTTCTCATCAAAGCCTCCCTTCTCTCTGGCTGAAATGACTGAGTAGTCACTGGGTATGTGGGTGAAAGGGAGGGAGCCAGCTAAAATGTCAGAAAGCCCTGGGGCCAATCCTAAAAACAGAAAACAAAATTGTCCATAAATGCAAGTTTTAACTACTCAATCCAGTAGCTCTTGGGAGAATAAATATTGTTATCTACCCGTCCACCCCCAACCAGTTACTTAGGACTGTTGTGGCTACCTTGCTTTAGAGACAGGAGACATCTCAAGGACCTGTACTCCAAGGGACCTCATTGGCTTACTCTGCTCCCTGCATGTGCTGCTGACCTAATAAAGTACTCAGTTTAAAAGCAGACTCTTAGAGCCCTTTTATTCAAGCAAGTAAACTTGATTTATGGTCAGAATAGTTTAGGTAGGACCTGAGCAAGATCTTACCGGCCAGAAAAGCAAGATGAGAGTGATCAGTGACCTGATCTCTAGTCTTCGGTGTGACTTGCAAGTAAAATTGTGACCTTAGGCAAGCTCACCCTTCTGAGTCTTTGTTTCTGTCCCAGCATGGATGAAGAATTGTTTCAGACGATTTTAAAGCTCTCCCATTTGGAAGGACACTGCATATTGTAACGTCACCATAAAATTCAAGATGGTTCTATAAGTCACACTGATGTTACCAAGAAGGTAAAGTAGGAGAGCTCAGCCTCCAACCCCCAACAAAGATCAACAACAGTGAGGAAGCATCCACAAAGGAAAGCAATTCCGGGAGAGCTCAGGGTCCTCTTAAGAATCTTCAGCAACTCAGTATGAGAAAGAAAAAAAAAAAACCCTCTGAGAATAATTACAAAAGAAGAGAAGGAAGACCAGCTTCATTTTGCCTGCATCATCCAATCTCCCAAGCTGGCACTGCTCACTGCCAACAGTGAACTCCTCAGCTTGAGACAGTTTCCCTTACCAGGAAAGGGAGAGTGAAGTGAGTGGCTGGCTTCCCTAGCTTTCAGGACCCTGCATGAAGGACCCTCTTCAGTTTTCCCCACCCAGATTGCAAACTGGTGTCACCGCTCTGGAAAGCAGAATGGGGGTTCCTCAAAAACTTAAATTGCACTATGACCCAGCAATTGCACTACTGGGCATTTACCTAAAGGATACAAAATTACAGATTCAAAGGGGCACATGCACCCCAGTGTTTATAGCAGCATTATCAACAATAGCTAGGGGCACCTGGGTGGCTCAATCTGTTGAGCATCTGACTCATCACAACAAGTGTCTTCCTTAATTCTTTTTATTTATTTATTTATTTTTAAATATTTGTTTTAAATATTTTTATTTATTTCTAGGAGAGAGAGAGAGAGAGAGACAGCATGAGCAGGGGAGGGTCAGAGAGAGAGGGAGATACAGACTCTGAAATAGGCTCCACGCTCCGAGCTGGCAGTCAGCACAGAGCCCGACACGGGGCTCAAACCCATGAACCGCGAGATCATGACCTAAGTGAAAGTCAGACGCTTAACTGACTAAGCCACCCAGGTGCCCCTTGTCTTCCTTAATTTTTAAGAGGCCCTGAGCTCTCCCAGAACTGCTTTCCAAATGGGAGAGGTCATGATCTTCACAATCATGAGATCAAGCCCCACACCAGGCCCCACACTGAGTCTGGAGCCTTCTTGAGATTCTGTCTCTCCTCTCTATGTCCTTCCCCAACGCTTGCACATGCACTCTCTCTCTCTCTCTCTCTCTTGCTCTCACTCTCTCTCTCTCAAAATAAATAAACTAAAAAAAAGAAAAACCCAACAACTGCCAAACTATGGAGAGAGCACAAATGTCCATCGACAGATGAATGGATGAAGAAGATATATATAAATATATATGTGATATAAGATATATGTTATATTGGAATATTACTCAGCCATCAAAAAGAATGAAGTCTTGCCATTTGTAATGATGTGGATAGAGCTAAAGTGTATTATGCTCATCAAAATAAGGCATCCATAGAAAGACATGCCATATGATTTCACTCATATGTAGAATTTAAGAAACAAAACAGAAGAACATAGGGGA